GAAGCTTGGCTCAAGGCTCACGATTTAATTAGGGCGATCGCTGGAATCCTGACATTACACTGCTAAGCGAGACAGTTGTTAAGTGAGTTGTGCCCCCATTTTACTACTTTCTTGGCCCAGCTGTTAAAAGCGAATCATCATTGCGGTTGTTAAGTTAGGAACGCGGTTGTTAAAAGTGAATCTGGATTTCCCCCATCGACTTGGTTTGTCTGAAGGTCGCAAAAGGGTTAGGGTTAAGGTTAGGGTTAGTCCAGTGTGGTGGCCTAGAGGTGGAGCTCTCGCCTCGCAACCAGGAGGCTGTGAGTTCGATCCTAGGTCGAGGCTAACATTTGGAATAGATTCTTCTGCTCGAGCAGGGGGTTGGACTAGATGGCCTCCCAAGGTCCCTTCCAACTCTGTTGTTCTAGGTTCTAAGGGGATCACACTGCAACTGTCATAAATATGGGACAGCTGCCAAGTCTCTGAATCACGGGGATGCTGCAACGGTCGTTAAGTGTGAAAAAGGGCCCTAAGTCCCTTTTTTTTTTTTGTGCGCCAAGGCTTGTAACTTTGAACGGTCGCTTAAGTGAACTTGTGTAAGTCAAGGACTACCTCTGCTTTTATCCGCTCGAATTGCAAAAATAACATGCAACATTTTTTCAAAGGGTTTGCTCAGGCAGGTCAACAAAGCCAACCACACCCAAGGAGGAAGGAAAATCACCATCTACCACTCGGCCCAATCAGGAACAGTACTGGTACCCCTCAGTTTAAGACTATTAAGTTGTGACCGTTGTAAATCAGGTCACCCGTACAACCGATGCAATTTTAATGGGGGTTTTTGTTTTGTTTTTGCAGTTGTCAGAATTCTGCAACAAGGTTAAGCGAGACTTTTGGTCAGATCTCAAAAAGTGATACTGCCACATTCAAAGGGGTGGGTGGGAGAAGCGGGAGCCTTGGATTGGAATCCCTAGTATATTGCCTGTGGCAAATGGTGTTTTTATAACTGGCATCCCGGCGCCGGAGCCCACCTCTTGAGGGAAACAGCAGGGAAAGCCATGTGGTTTATTTCATGCTCAAAGCCAGCGGAGGGGGAGGGGCCATAGGAATGTATGCTTACCTGTTTTCTCAAGAGCCACCTGGAAACAACATCTTCACACCTGGGCAGTGGCTGAGATTAACATTCTGGCTAAAAGGAGGGGGTCTCTGCTGCTTTAATTATACTGGTCTTTGCCTAAGGATAGTCAGGCCTTGCTTTACCAGAGAATCCGAGTTGGAAGGGACCTTGTAGGTCATCTAGCCCAACCCCCTGCCCAAGTGGGAGACCGTACACCCATTTCTGACAGATGGGAGTTCTTGAAAGTCTCGAGTGATGAAGCTCCCACAACTTCCGAGGGCAACGGTTGATTATTCTGTCGGAAAGTTTCTCCTTTATTTCCAGGTTGAATCTCTCCTTGTTCAGTTTCCATCCATTATTCCTTGTCTGGCCTTCAGGCGCTTTAGAAAATAGCTTGACCCCACTTTCTCCTCTCTGGGGCAGCCCCTCAAATATTAGAAGACCGCTATCCTGTCTCCCCCGGTCCTTCTCTTCACTAGACTAGCTTTGAATCGGATGCTATCACTTTGGCGTAATAAAATGTTCCTTTGAAATCCTTCGTTTTTCAAGCAAGAGGTGGGATTCAAAATTCGTTACTGCCGGCTCTGTGGGTGTGGCTTGGTGGCTGTAGCGTGGCATGGTGGGCGTGGCAGGGGAAGGTTACTGCAAAGTCCCCATTCCCTCCTCACCCCACTAACCTGCTTTCCAGCTCCATTCTCCTGTGCAGAGCAACAAAAGGAGACCCAGGCAATCAGCTGGGACTTGGGAGGCAGACAATAGATGGGGCCAATCAGAGGCGGTCTTTGCCGGTTGTCCGAACTACTCAAAATTTCCACTACCGGTTCTCCAGAACTGGTCAGAACCTGGTGAATACCACCTCTGGTTTCAAGACACTTTCTGAAGTAAGGTGGATTGGCAGTCCTTACAGAGACATTTGTTCCGGAAGCTTTGCCTCGTTTTACGACCTTTCTTTCCACAGGGGTTAAATGAATTGCTGCCGTTCTTAAGTTATCCAACGTGATGGTGAAGCATATCCGGCGTCCCCGTTGCCTTTGCTTGTCAGGCGGTCGCAAAGGGGGAAATCACATGCCCCCTCCCTATGGTCATAAATGTGAACCCATCACCGGGCATCTGAATGAATGTTGATCACGCGATTGTGGGGATGCTGCCAAGGTGGTAACTGTGAAAAAATGGCCATTGTTCATTTCCCCCCACCCCAAGTACCGTTGTAACTTTGAACGGTCAGTAAATGAAACTGTTGTTAAGTTGAGGACTACCTGTAACTTCAAACAGTCACTGAAAACGAGCGGTCGTA